AAATTCACTAATTTTCCGTGTATAATTTTTGACAAATGCATACAGTAACCACCACCACAATCAATATGTAGAATATTTCCATCCCTGTAAAAAGTTCCCTTATACCTCTTTAAAGTCAATTTTCTCCTTTCATCCTCAGCCCCTGACTACTTATTTGTTTTCTGCAAAAGACACTTTTTATTTATTAAGCAAATATTTATATGAGGGCCTTTTATTTGGAAGTTCTTGAGCAAGATGCTTCATAAAATACAGAGATAAGTAAGACTCAATTTGTGTCCTTAAATAGCTTAAAATTGAATCTAGTAATAGGTAATTTTGAGGTTACTCTGTCTACACATAGTAGGGGACTGAATTTCAAAATGAAGTATGCCCGCTAAAGAAATAAGGAAGAAAGAATATTACGAATGCTTCCTAAACTTCTAGAACACTGAACAAAAGAATCATGACTGCCACTAATTATGATTTCTTTAAAAAGGCACAAATTCAGATCACAGGATGTTCCGGATAATTTTTTAAAAGTAAACTCTTTTTAAAATTAAATAACACACATATAGGAAAAAAAAAGTACAGAAATCATAAGTGCACAGATTGACCTTTCCAGATTATTTGATGCCAACCTAGACCAGCCCTATGTGACCAATACAGTAAAAAAGTGACATCCTAAATTTTTTGGTTTAGATAGAATACTTATATCATTGAAAGAAAGAAAGAGATAAGAAAATAACGTTCTGCAATGGCTCACAAAGAACTGTGGGGATAAGTAGTGAGAAAATGGATGGCACATTAAAATTCATGAGGAAATGCTGTTTAAGTTCCATGAATAACAAAGCGATTATTATGCAGGATCAGGTTTTTCTTTCATCATTACAGAAAGACACAAAATCATTATTGTGATCTGCCATGTGTTTTTCCTTTGTTATTAGATGCTGGGACAGGCCTATTAAATGTTCTGTGTTACCCAGGAGAATGGTCACGGTGGTGAGTAATGGTGGTCATGATGTACGTGGTTTTCTATGGTCCTAATTATAAGTGCATTTAGACCAGAGGAAAGGAACAAATTAAATAGAAGGGCAGAATGGCTGGGTGGGCATTTTCTTGTGATTGCAAAGAACTGAGTCTATTCTTAACCTTTCTGCTCCTTGCTTTATGCTTTCAGCCTGTCATTTCCAGAACAGACAAAGCTGGTATTTGCGTTTGGAACCTCCTTGGTCAATACAGTGGGGACTACAGTTACTTTCAAAAGGGGTAATAGTGCAAATTGAGGAAGGGCATTAACATCAGGAGAAAAAAACATAATGTGCAAAAATAATCCTGCAATAAAGTGTATAGTAGGGTCAAGAATATACTCACATTATAATTCCAACATGCAAAGAAAATATTTCTTTTTATTTTCTATGATGGACCGATTTTTCCTTGCAAACTTCTACCTTACTCTGTAATGGGAGGAAAAAACCAACCCAAACTTTAAACTTGTCAGTTCAAGGTAACAACCCTTTTTGGTTTAAATAAATAGTTGTTTTTGACTGGGCGCAGCGGCTCACACTTGTAATGCTAGCTCTTGGGAGGCTGAGGTGGAAGGATGGCTTGAGGCCAGGAGTTCAAGACCAGCCTGGACAACATAGCAAGACCCCTGGCTCTACAAAAAATAAGAAAGTTAGCCAGGCGTGGTGGTGTGCAGGATTGTTGGAGTTTGAGGCTGCAATGAGCTGTGATTGCATCACTGTATTCCAGCCTGGGTGACACAGTGAGACTCCATCTCTGAAAAAATAAAATAATAAAATAAAAGTGTAAGTCCCTTCCTTGGCTAAATTTTTCACCTATGAAAAAAATGGTGCTAGAACAATTAGACATCTATCTATATAAAAACTTTGACTGATACCTTGTACCGTATAAAAATATCGACTCAAATGTTTTTTGATTATAGACCTAAATGTAAAGCCTAAAACTATAAAAACACTTGAAGAAAACATATGAGAACATCTTTATGACATTGGATTAGGCAAAAATATCTAAGATACTACGCTAAAAGCATAATTCATAAAAGAAAAAAATTTGCTGCTAAATATCTTACAATGAAAAAAAGAAAAAAATTAATAAACTGAACTTCATCAAAATTAAGAACTTTTCTTTGAAAGACACAACTAAGAAAATTAAAACACAAGACACTGACTAGGCTAAAATATTTGCAAAGCACATATCTGATAAAGGACTTGTATCCAGAATGCATAGGGAACTCTCAAAATTCAATAATAAGACAATAAGCAACCCTTCCCACACGCACACATACAAGTGGGCAAAAGATTTGAACAGACACTTTACCAAAGAAGATATATGGGCTGGACACTCGGCTCCTGTCTGTAATCCTAGCACTCCGGGAGGCTGAGGCAGGGGATCCCTTGAGCTCAGGAGTTCGAGACCAGCCTGAGCAAGAGCAAAACCCCGTCTCTACTAAAAATAGAAAAATTAGCTGGGCATCGTGGCACACACACCTGTAGTCCCAGCTACTCAGGAGGCTGAGGCAGGAGGATTGCTTGAGCCCAGGAATTTGAGGTTGCTGTAAGCTAGGCTGATGCCACAACACTCTAGCCTGGGCAACAGAATGAGACTCTGTCTCAAAAACAAAAAACAAACAAACAAAAAAACACAAAAAGATATATGAGTTACAAATAAGTACATAAAAAGATGTTCAACATCATTGTCACAGAGATACACAAATTGAAACTGTAATGAGATACCACTATCACCTACTAGAATGGCTAAAACAAACAAACACACTGACAATATCAAGTCCTAGCAAGGATGTAGAGCAACTTGAATTTTCATACATGGCTAGTAAAAGTGCAAAATGGCCCAGCCATCTTGGAAAAACAGTTTGGCAGTTACTTATAAACATATGTTTATCATTTGACCCAGCAATTCTATGCCTAGTTATTTACCCAAGAGAAATGACAACTTATGTCACTCAAAACCTGTATGTGAATGCTTTATGCATAATCACCAAAAACTGAAAATAACATAAATGTCTCTCAGCTAATAAATTGAAAAGCAAACTGTGGTATATCCATACAAAGGAATACTACTCAATAATAAAAAGGACTAATAAACTATTGATACACACTACAACTTGGATGAATCCCAAACAATTATGCTGAATGAAGGAAGCTAGACCAAAAAAGAGTATATACTATACAATTACATTTATATAACATTTTGGGAGAAGGAGAACTATAGAAACAGAAAACAAATCAGTGGTTCTCAGACCCTGGAGGTGAAGGAAGGCGTTGACCACAAAGGGGCACAGGGAATTTATTACAGTGATGAAACCACTTTATATCTTAATTATACTGGTGGTTACACAACCATATGCACTTGTCAAAACTCATAAAACTATTTGCAAAAACTATATCATTTGGAAATTATGCCTTAATAAACCTGACCGCTCCTCAAAGACTTTTTATAATGCTTATCACAGATTTTAATGGTAAT